TAGTAGTAGTAGTACTACTACTACTACTACTACTAGTACCACTACTACTACTACCACTACTACTACTACTACTCCTGCTGCTGCTGCTGCTGCTGCTACTACTACTACTACTACCACCACCAACACTACAGCTGCCGCTCCGCTCCTGCTCCCGCCGCCACCGTCACTGCCACTGCCACTGCCACTGCCACTACCACTACAAGTATCACTACCACGACGACGATGACGACGGCTACTACTCCTCCTGCCGCTGAGAGGACGGCGACTACTACTACCACTAGTACTGTCAGCAGTACCACGACTAGTTGGAGGAGGAAGAGGAGCAGCAGAAGTCGGAGTGGCAGTGGCAGGAAGTTTCAAGTCTGGCCGACCGAACCGCTCAGCCAAGGTTAAATGCCATCCGAGAGGATCAGCCTGCACTTTTCGAGCGATTGCATGAAAGCATGAGGCCGGCTCTGCGGTTCAGGGTGCTGGGTTCAGTGCACCAGCGGTCACCAGCACTTCTGGGCGTAGAGGTGCAAGTTCGCATTCTCCTTGAAGCAGCTGGTTTGGTTTGCATCTTCGCATGCATTCTGTCTTGCCTTGCTGCCAGGCGTACCCAGCAGCGCACCAGCACCGGAACAAAGCAGTCCGGCTGCTGACTATGTTAGTGTTAGATAATTCGCAGTGCATGCGCTGAACTGCCAACTGGTTGTTCAAAATCGTTGCGAATGCTGTTGGTTGCTAAGGTACATGTCACCCAGAAATCTATATAGTCTAATTAATTATAATAATAATAATAATAAATAAATAAATAAATATATATATATATATATATGGCATGCCTCCGTCCGAACGCAGCGATGTTAAGAGGGCTGGGCTGTTGAACTCTGCTACTTGCCTCGCTTAATTCTAGTTCAACAGATGACCTCCACCGCGAGCCAAATCTAGCAACAGGAGATCGTCGCCCAGCGCGAGAAGCTGCGCCGCTTCGACGCGCTGCAGGTGCAAGAGGCATTCGGAGACCGAGCGGGATCCAGTTTTGGACATTTGGGGCGTGGAAGCTTCAGTGATAAGCTTAAGACCAGCCAAAAGTCTGTGACAACCTAGGAAGCTCTACTCTAGACTCTAGATTTTACTCGGGCTTCCTTGATGTTGGGCGATATCGGACACCCTGGTCGGAGCACAGTCCAGGGAAGATCGGATTTGGGATACTCTTGCAGGAGTCTGAAGATCGTGCGTAAATACTAAGTCTGCAATGCAGGCAGGCGTGTTCGTGTGTTGAATTCAATCTAGGCCTGCCATCCGGTGTGGCACGGTCGCATCATGTCGATCATGAGCTTGATGTGCGAACGTACTGCTCCCTAAAGCACGAAAAGTTAGAGCCCTTCAGCAGGCTTCAGGGAGAACTGGGCTATACTGGATCATACTGGGTGCTTCTTCACGGATACAAACAGGCGGCCTGTCCTGCAGGTTGAGCGGCTGGTGTACGAAGAGGAGCCGGTGATGTGAGAGCCCCAGCGCAAGCTTTGGAGCAGTTTCGTTGTTGAGAAGAGCTCCCAACTACATGCATGTTGTTTTTCGAGAGTGGCAGAAAAATGCGGCAGACGTGCTTGAGAAAAAGGGGAAGCTATTCCCTCGGAATGGTATTGCTGAAGTCCCCCTGTGAATGCAGAGGTTAGAGGCGGCTAGAGGCCTAGTCTGGCATCGTTTCTCTGCGCATGGGGTCTTGACAGGTTTTACGAGCCCCTCAAATACCTGGACGACAGGACGAAAGGTCACGTCGCTCAGGCCAGGCTGCTTCACAGTAATGATGTTGTCTTCGCAGTTTTTGCACTGGTTGCCAGCATACAGGAAATGACCGGACGTGAGCACGTGGGTCCATGTATTGCTGTCACTGCGGACTGGCACCCGCACCAACTGCGCTGGCGTGATTGGGAGAACACGGAAGCATCGTGATACATGGTTCTCTAAGCCCTAAACCAAAGCTCTAAAACCCTAAGCCCATCCTAAGCCCTGAACCCATCCTGACAGATCATTGAAGAGAAGTTGAAGCTGCTCCTCAAGCGATTGGAGATGTTCGTAGCTCAGAGAGTGAGAGTGGAAGATGTCTTCAACATGACACTTTGCGGCTTTGCAGATGTGCTAGGAGGAATCAACCAGGGCACTTTGGCCTGTAGCTTTGCACGAGTCACTCATAGCCTTGCTTCAGAAACCGCTAAGGGCTAGATTTGGCTGAAATCCCAGTGCCCTCTGCCAACTGTTATGTCATGCCATGTCATGTCTGCTGTTGTTGCACCATGTTTTTCGAACCGAATCGAAAGAAAACACGGACACTGCCAATGATGACCTGAGTCCTGTCAGAGCCAGGGGTGACGCCATCGATTGGAACACCTTCATGACGGCACCTGAGGAGGCCAGGCTGCAACCACAGGCCTGAAGCCCCTAGTAGCCTAGGCTAGGCTAGGCTGATGTGTTCCTGTGATCGTGTTCAGGTGAACCTTGCGGGCCATTCGTCTCCTCGTAGCCCAAGCTCGCGGGGCGCAAAGCCGCGGTCCATGACCGAGAGCGCCAAGGAAGCCTGGTTCGGGTGGGTGGGCTGACCTGTCGCGAACGGGTCTGTCTGTCTTTTGTTGACTCCCTCACTCTGTTTTGGACCCCCGCATCTTTTTCTTGACCCCTCCTCTCTCGTTTCACCGCCTCCTCTCTCTCTCTCGCTCCCCTCATCTCTTGCTTCCTCCCCCGCCCTTTGACCCCCTGACCTCGGTTCTTCGATTCCTCTCATCTCCTTCCCTACCCCCCATCCCCTCTTCTCCGACCTCCGAGCGCTGGGACAACTCATCAAACCCTCGGTATCCATAACCCCTTCCCCCAATGTCCCCAAACAACTTTACCAGATTTTACCAGACTGGGTTGAAATGAAGGCCCCTAGATAGCACCCCATAAATTGCCGATAAGAATCTGCGAGGCATCATGAGATCCCATGGCAACCCTCTTCAACACATGAAGGCCCTGATGTTAAGAAACCCTATGTCGAAAGCCCCGAACACTACGTTGCCGTAATACCTTCACCACCTGGAGAAGTTCAGAGGAACCCTACTACAAGTGGTCGTGGTCGTGGCAGTGGTGGTGGTGGTGGTCGAAGAAGAAGAAGAAGCGTAGTCGTAGTCGTAGCGGTAGTGGTAGTGGTAGTGGTAGTGGTAGTCGTCGTCGAGGTGGTGGTGGTAGTAGTAGCAGCCGGGGTGAAACGAAGGAGGGAGGTCAAATTGGGCGGGGGGATCCACGAAGACAAGGAACTGGGTCAAAAGAAAATCTGCGCCCGGTCCGGCATTCGAGCCAATGTGCGTTAGCAGTGTGACGGGCCGCAAGGACGACATGGACTTCGGCAGAAAGGCCTGGCAGGAAAGACGATATAGCTGGCAGCGGATGTGACGCATCAGCTAGGTTTCAAGACTCAGCGAACATGGGATCGGAAGCATGCAGACTGTCTGCTCAGCGGTCACAAGAGCTGAAGTGACTCTGGTCGGACCCCATCTCGAAAGTGGCACCGACTTTTCGCAAAGGTCAGGGGTTTCCCACCTCTCAGTGACTCCTAGCAGGCAGAAGAGGCCGTGCGGCGAGAGTGCGGAAGAGCTGCTGCAGAGGTCGGAGCTGCAGCTTATGCAAACTCTATAGTCGCATAGTGTAGACATGTAGCGTGTAGCCTGGTCTTTGCCTAGCTGGTAGTATCTACTAGTAGTAGTAGTAGTAGTAGTAGTAGTAGTAGTAGTGCCCATGCAATTAGTTTGGAAACGGGATATTCTGCCCTGCATTCGGGGCCGAATGCCTCAAGTGTTTGTCAAGAGTGAAAATTGAGCAAAATCATCGAACTTTCGAGGAAGCCGGAACCCGCCAATTTTAAGCCCCGCCCCTCGTGCCCACGGTCTCACCTTTTCTGCCTAGGTAGGCAAGGGACTTTGGCCCGGAAAAAAGTGAAGATTCAGCGGGCAGTATGTTGAAGGTGTCGGTATGCCAAGCTTCTCCCCACTGCCGACAGGAGTTGCGCAAGGCTCAAGCCAGCTGCCCAGAATCTTTGCTGGTTTGAGGATGCAACGGGCGAGTGGTAGGCTAGACTCGCAAGATTACGAGTCTGCAGACCTGCAGCTTCAGAAACTGTGGGGCCGGGACTGCACAACTGCATTAACAGACAACAGGAGCATGTCCTTCCGATGCTGCTCCCGCACACAGGCACAGCGTCCAGCAAGGTAATGCTTGCCACACGAAAGTCGACTTTTGACCGCCCAAGTGCCCAGCTTCTAGCACCCAGGCATCTTTCAATGCACAGCTCGAGGACCGGGCTAAGTCTTGTACGTGAGAACGATAGAGCTGGCTTGGACATCTGGGTTCAGGCTGCGTTTGGGCAGGAGAGTTGGCATCGAAATGAGCTTTGGGGCCGAGAGATCTGCATACCGGTCCGTCATTGAGCCAGAAGCCGAGAGTTCACTGTCAACGTGGGAGCGGCAGGAGCTTCGGACCTCCAAACAAGCACTGGAAGGCCCGGGGATACTGAGGCAAAGAACAGGACGAGACACGTTTGTGTTTGGTAACCGGTAGCCCTTCCCTCGAATATGAGGGTGTCCCTTGCAGGCTTCAAGAACCGTGAAGGGGTTAACGGTTAACACCTTAGTCAGTTGGGTTTTGCAGAGGCAGTCCTCTTGAGCCTTCGCCTTAGATCCTGAATTGGCCCCAAATCCCCTGACTTTGAAGCCCTAAACTCCTACTCACAGTTGCCAGCAACAGCACTACTTTCTTACTCCTACCGGCACTTGCATTGCCATGTGTGGAAGCATTGCTCCTGCCATCCATGCCGCTAGCCTTTACTCTTGCTCCCAATAGTGTCACTAGTATTGTCAGAAGTACTCTGATTGTTTTTACTTAGTACGAGTAACACTAGTACACTCAGTGCAGTCACAGCTACACCAGAAATCATACCCCGGAGTATCAGTCACGAAGCCCAAACAGTTCCCTGCCGAAGCTTAGCTGCAATAATGTGTGTGTATATGAATGCAAGTGTATATCTATCTATATATATATAT